CATAAATTGATCTGATCGATGCTGATAGAATTGTGTGAAATGTTCTAAAAGAAAAGCGAATAGAATGGGAATACTATTTGATTTGATTACGTTAGCCAATTCATCTAAATGCAAATCAGTGTGTTATTGTGATTTTTTTTTCTTGTTCTTCATCTTTATTATCATACTTAGTATTATTTGATTTTTAAACATATACAGGTACGTGAATGTATATAGAAATATATATATAACGTATGTATTGCTAAAGAAGAAATTTCTAGTGCATTTATTCATTTCAAAAATTAAGCAATTATTCATACAATACATAGAATACAGAAAAAAACGAAGGAAATATCTAAATAGTACGGATTAATCCCAAAAGTAATTCAATCTCAATAGACTTATAAAGTCGACTAGCAAATTTTCTATTAAGAAAATATGACTTTTCGAGAAAGATGTACTCAAATGCAAAAAAGAAGACAAGAACTCATCTATTTGTACATATCTATATATATATATTAATTTTCATGATTGTTTTTTTTGTAGCATGTCTGAAAATAGTTTGTGTATTTTAATTAATAATTGTACAACTACAATAACAAGAACAACTTCCACAGGTGCATTATATAAAACAATTCTTATTATAGTTGGTGGTACAATATTATCTTTTTTAACAACTGGTGGTAATTTACTTGTATTAATTTCATTTCGAGTTAATAAACAATTACGTACAGTAACAAATTATTTTTTATTATCACTTGCTATAGCTGATTTTACAATTGGATTTTTTTCTATGCCAATTTTTTTTACATTTTTTGAACAAGATCGTTGGCCATTTGGTTCATTTCTATGTGATGTATGGCTTAGTGTTGATTATACAATGTCAAATGCATCTGTTGCTAATCTTTTACTGATTTGTTTTGATCGATATTTTTCTATAACTCGACCATTAACATATCGATCGAAACGTACACCAAAACGTGCATTTATTATGATTGCTTTTGCTTGGATTATTTCATGTCTTATATGGACACCGGTAAGAGATTGAAGTTTAAATATGATTTGACAAAGAGAAAAACAATATTTTTTTTCTTGTCTAGTGGATTTGGATTTGGCCCTATATTGATAAGAGATTACCACCAGATGAATGTCGATTACCATTTGCTTCAAAAGCAACAGGTAGTAGAATAAAAAAAAAGAATAAAATGTTGCCTAATTTTTCTTGAATATTAGTGGCAATACCAACAGCCATAGCTGCTTTTTATTTGCCAGTAACATTAATGTGTTTACTTTATTTTCGTATTTATCGTGAAACAGTTAAACGTCGAAAAGAATTACATCTTTTACAAGCTCAAAATCATATACCTAATTCTCAAACAACAACAACCAATATTACTTCAAATGATCGTTTAACAAAAAATTTAAGTACAATAGGTACAACATTAATTAATGATTGTGATGAAAGTGTTTCAACAGATTCTAATCGTTCACATGGAAAAATTTTATCGATACAAAATTCTTCGAAGAATAAATTTGTATTATCAAATAAAATACAAAAAAATAAATTTAATCAAACTTTTAATTGTTGTTGTTGTAATACAAGGTAAATGAGTTCTTCAATTAGTTTTCTACATATTTATGATAAGGTTTGATTCTCATGAGTAATATGCTTTTCTTATATATTTTTAATACCGTTAGAAGTTGACATTTATTGTCGATGTACTAGATGTCATAATGTACTTTATGTTGAGATTACAATTTCCTAATTGTTATTATTACAAAAAAATCCATAATGCCAAAATGGTAACAAATGCTTGACGTATTTTTAGAAATGGCTTTTTTGTTTTATTAGTAATGTCGCATTAGACGCATTACTTAAACAATAATTTGCAAATCGACTTTCTTTTCTTTTTGTTTTCGTTAAACAATAATACTAAATCTGTATGCATGTTTAGAAGTCTGTTTTCTTCTTGATCTATCATTTGCTATGATGAATAATAGTTTTTTCGTATCTTATGAAATATTTAACATGATTTATTTAGTGAAAAAAAAATCATAAATATCATTAGGAGAACTATTTTGCTTTTCGTATATTTCGCCATAGATTTTTGTTATTTCTATATGTAATTATTAGTTCTGAAGAAAAAAAAAAGCCTAATCGAACAACTCTTTCTTATTTCTAACAGTTTAGACAAATGACAGAAATGTAAAGACGTTTTGCAGAAAAGTAGCAAGAAAGAATACCCAAATACCTTTCGGTGTAGGGTGAGACAAAGAAACAAATACGAAGACAAACAAAAATAAAATAACAATAAAATAAAATAAATAACGTTAGTGTTCTTTTGATGTCTGGTTTATTAGATCATATCTTGTCATCCTTTCAAGGTTTTCCATCAAATCACCATTCTCCGAAACAAGACGGGTTTAGATTGTGATCGTCATCACACCAAAAAAGAAAGTCAGGATTTGCTTTCATTGTACTTCTTCAATATTTTGATGTGGTTCTTCTTACACCATTGAGCTGCACACGCTCTTACATGACCTGTTATTCCTTGTGGTTTGAACTTCTTTTTGTAGTTGGGACATTCATACATGCTATGAGAGTCTTTTACCAACACTTCAGCCACCTTTCGCTGAAATGTTTCATATGACATGGCTAATTCTTCTAATTTTATTTCATCTGCACGATCTTTGAACTCTTGTATGATTGATTTAATATTTGAAGGAACAGGATTAATTTTAACATGTATGTTAATTATTTCACGCCAACTGTCTCTATTTTGAGTGTCTTTTCTCCAATTTTTGACGCTGAATCTCTCGATGTCATCCATAATCTTGCTTTCCCATCTTTTTCTTATTTCAATATTTGCAGGACGTTTGTTTCCTGACAAATACGAAAACATTGTTTTCTTTACCAAATGTGGCCCATTTTAATTTTCCATACGATTTGCATGGCCAAACCATCTTAATCGGTTACGTCACATCAGATTTTCAATTGACGGTTGACCAGATAGTGCAAAAAAGTAAAATATACTCTTAGTGAAGAAATGATTGAACAAATATAAATTTTTCTTTTTCTAATTATTCGAAAATTTATTTAAAATCTATTGTAACTTTGACATTAAGTGTACTTTTGTAACAACAATATTTAGAAAATTAAAATTTTAGCATCAAATAAATTTCAAAATCTAGTGCATGTAACATGACTATTAGTTTTGATTAATAAAGAAACATCTTAGCAAAAGTATATAGCTTGAGAAAATCAAAATTTATTTTATATGGTTCATTTGACAGATATATATATTTACGAGAATGAAATATTGCAAGACTACAATAAATCAAAATTATTTTAAACATTACTTCGGAAAGAAACCATTAAAATAGAATTTTGAATATATTGATGTGGAAAAGAGTAAAGTCGCTGCTGTTATTAGTTGCATATAGATAAGCAGTTTATTGTACAGGCAAACATACTCAGCCTTTATGTTCTAGCATTTACTTCGTAATGTTATTTTAGAAAGAAATGATTAAACTACTTTTTCATAATTGACCAAGTCACGAAATAATAAAATAGAACTACAAATTCATGTCAACTCTTAATACTATTAAAGTTTTTTTTTAAATTAAACACAATAAAAGAAAACAGAATATTTTAGTTAACTATTACATTAATTTAACAATCTATGATTAGATATCTATTATTATTTAAGGAGTTGTGATCAAAGAACATCAAACGCAAATCCAAATGGACTTGATGATGATGAATTTTCGAGTGAACTTAATCCTGTAATAAGTTCTACTAATGATCGAAATAAAACTAATTCTCAATCATTAACAAATAATGGAAAAATCTATCTTGCTAATGGTCGCCCAGGTACAAGTCGTAGTAAATCAGAAAAAATCAAATCTACTTTATATGCTGATCCATGGATTCGTCGCTCTGATCAACCATCATTAATAAATGATACTTATAATCAACAACGACAAAAATCTATTCAATATGAAACTCGTCTTTATTGTCATTCGTTATCATCACCATCTGATGATCATCTCTCTCAACAACAACAACAACAACAACAACAACATCAACCACTACTTAATAATATTGATAAAGATATTGAATATGTTGAATCACGATTACGTGGTCAAACAACAGTTTCGCTTCCACTACTACATTCAACTACTTATACACATAACATCAGTCGGCGACAAATTCCTAAACATAATTGTATGGATCCGTTATTATCTTCATCAAACGATCAACAGCAACAACAACAGACACATATTGTTCAGCCAACATGTCCAAGTACAATAAATATACAACAAAGAAATGAAACAATTCCATCACCATCGAAAGCATTAACACAAAAACTAACAACACCTGTTTCACCAAATGTACATGGAAGTGTTAAAACTGTAAAAAGTCGTTTAGAAAAATTGAAAGATCAAAAAGCTGCTAAAACTTTAAGGTAAACAAAATTATTTCTTCGCTTAATCTTGGAAATTTATTTTATTATTATTTTTTCTTCTAGTGCTATTTTAATTGCTTTCATTGTCACATGGCTTCCTTATAATACAAATATAGTTATATCAACTATAAAACCAGATATATTTGAACGTGGATTTCCAATGTATTGGGAACGTTTTGGTTATATGTTATGTTATATTAACTCAACGATTAAGTATGTATTTTGAAAGAATATTTGTTGGTTTTTAAATAAAATTTTTATTTATTATTTTTTTAGTCCAATGCTTTATGCCTTATGTAATGGAACGTTCCGACGAACATTCGCTCGTTTACTTCGTTGTCAATGTCATCGACGGCATACACCAACATACGTGCATAAAACTTATCGGTTTCAAGCAAAGAAAAATCTTACTACGAAAAATAATAATAATATCTAATCAATTATTTGTATATAAAATTGTTAATATCTGGTTTTTGTCAAAAAACGAATATTACCAATATATTGGTTTTAGTATTGGTTTTAGATCAAGTTTTTTTTCTTTTTCTTTTCTTTTTATTCATTTTGAGTATCTAATGAAGAATTTAAACTTATGTCAGAATTTGTACTATTTAAAAATAGACGAAATGTTGAAAGAAATGAATCACAAGAATGAATAAGTGGAATCATAGCTCGACTATCTTCAAATGATGATTGAGATGTTTGTTTAAAAAAGACATTAATCATTGCACGAATTTGATGTAAGCGAATAGCTACTTGTTCTCCAATGGATTTTGATGTTAATTCGTGTTGAATAAAAATTAATTCTTCATCAAGTACACATATAGCACGTATTTTAAGCATTCGATTTTGAATATTTTCATTTATCGATATGATTAAATCATCAAGTAAAATTTCACTAAAACACAAATAATTTGAAAATAAGAAACACACGAGCAAAATTATTTGAATACAAACCGACTATTAATCAAAGCTCGGTGTCGACGGTTAAAATAGATTCTTTTCATTGATTCATCAAGTTTCTTTATATATACATATACATATAAAGATAAAATCGATAAATAAACAAACTTAATACATACATCATTAGTATTTGATGATTTTTCACATTTCAATTCAAGTTTAAATTGATCACCTATTTCATTTGAAAATGAATGATGAATATTAACAAGATCACAAAAACATTCAATAAGTGATACATCAAGTAATTCTAAATCGTCTTGAAAATAATTCTACTAAAGATAAAAGTATTTTCTTTTCACTAGAACTTCAAAAATCTCGAATTTTTTTGTGTTTTTAAATTCTCACTTGTGCATCAGAATACCATACAATATTAAAATTTTGTTTTAAATACTAAACAAGTTTTAAGAAAAAAATAAACAGTTGATCGATCAAAATAGTTTTTTATACTTGTCGAAAACGTTGTCGTAAATTAATAAGATATTTTATTTGTTCTTCACATTTTATTCTTTGCCATTGATGTTTATCCATTGACATTTTAATATCTGAAGACAAAAGTGACAAGCTCTATTTCTTTTTTTCACAATGTTAAATTTTAAAATAAAGAAAAAAAAAGTGCCTATTTTAATATCTGTTCGAGATTCGTAACAAAAAGAAAACCATGAAATCACGAAAGACAATGTTTTATCTGACTATTTTCAAGATAATAATAATTAGAAGAAGAAGAAATGTCGTTTATTTTGTTGATGCAGATAAACGTTGAGCTAATGGTATTAAATTACGAATAAATTCATCTGAATTATCATAGAGTTCAATTAATTCATTATCAGATATTTCACTGGGTGTTTTAAGAAGATAATTAAGACTAAAATCAATCATTGAACGTATCTTTTGAAGACGTAAAGCTACTTTTTCATGAATTGGTACTATAAATAAAAGAAGAATAGAATATCAAAAACAGGAAAAAAAATGATTTATCAACTTTTTGGTGAAGGAGACGCTTCTGTCTCATGATTGATACATTTTAGATGTTCATCAATAATACAAATTTCACGTAATAATGAACCACGTTTTTCAAAACTGGCATTTTGTAACAACATTTTAAATAAAAAATCTCTAAAAAAAAATCATACAAATCAATATGGAGATGATTTAAATAGACAGTAAAATAAATGAACGATCAATAAATTAAATTAAATAGTAAGTATAAAAGTTGAAGTGCATTATACTGTGATTCAAATAGATAATAGACATATTACAAAAGAAATAATGGAAGATAGCTGTATTCAAATTAGCATCAACATTATTAATAAAGAAATGAAACATGAATAACAAACAAAAAAAACCAATCAACATTAGACTTCTTTCTAGGCTATCATGATAATGAATGACTCAAATCCAATGATGACTGGTATGAAAGTATACAACTATATGCACCAAGTACAAATAACACCTTAAAGGCAATCAATAGAATAATCACAGATGATAGGACACTTAAACTACACCATGCTTTATACAATAGCATCAATTATTGTCAAATAATTAATTAATTAAACAAGCTTCTACGTCAACTAATACAAAAATATTAGCTACAGAACTACCAATATCTTTACAATTATGAACTTTATTGTATTCATTACTAAATCTTCGAAAGTTATAATTTGTATTGTCAAGGAATCTTTTCAGAAACATGCTAAATACCACCTTCTGATTTATAATCAATTACACAAACCTTTTAAGCTTGTTAGGCTTTTTGTAGACCACAGGAAGTTCCATCGTTCAGCTATTTTCAGACAATTTTCACATCAACGCCGGTTTCTCAGAAAAAGAATGGTGCTTTCCAGTGTTTACAAAAATCATAGTTTTGAATTAGCAGTTTTGAAGCATTCAGAAACTGTGGTAAAAGTTCACTTGAATTTAATCCTTTGAATTTATATTTTTATGGTCTGAATAGAAATGAATGTTACATTCCACTGAATACTCACTATAAGAATACAACGTCATATTCGGATGAAATCAGTAAAATAATTCTATTTTTAGCTGCTGTAGACTTAGTTTGAAGAAGTTAATCTCTGTATTATAATTCTTGATAGAAATGACGATCACTGTACATCATGAGAAAAAGCTCTGTTCGGTGTACTTCAAAATTTTCTCAGATATAATATTATTCGTCGACTTTTTAAAATTAGATGTTTAGGTTAACCGTTTTAATGTAATTTTGTAGAGTTGAATGCAGAATTTTTGAAATCAGATACAAATTACTACAATGAAAGCTGACAAAGAAAAACATGAAATACAAATCCTGTCATTAGTTATGGACCACCCGTTACTAAATTAATCCTTATACGAATAAAACTTATTTCTTCTACTGATAAAATCTTAATTTTTACTAGACAAAATCTATGTTCTCAAATCAATATTTATTATTTTTCTCTTCTTCTAATAATTTTTTGTTTTTTACCGTCTCAATTTTAAATCCATATATTGCATTGATGTTTGTAACATTTGTTTTTGATCATTATTTAATTCAATAATAAAATCTTCTTCATTTAAATTATCAGGTAAATCAAACTTAATTATATCTGATATATAATCAAGAAATAAAAATGGATTTGTTATACCAAATAAATCCAAATGTATATCACGATTAAAATGCATACAATATACTTTTGGTAACATACGAAACCAAATACCTTTTGGATGTGAATGAAGTAAAATTCTTATATCATCACGTAAATTTGTTAAAAGACGAATTTGATCATTATTATCAACTAAAATTATATTTATATAATTGAAACAAAATTTAAATTATTTTCGTTTTTTTTTCTACCTACAATCAATATTTTTCGTCGTATCCACCATTTTAATAATATCTGAGAAATAAACAAAAGATTATTCTCTTAACCTTATTTCTTTAAATTAAACAGATTTGAATATATTTTATTTTTGAACAAGACATAAAAAATTAATCAGTGAGAACAAGAGAAAAAATGAATTAAACATGTAAATTTTCTTCAAGAAATGCTGTTAATGTATCGGTATCCCACTTTTCAATACCTAATGATTGTATTTCTTCATCCTTATCATTATATAAATGAAGAACAGGTTCAGCACCAACAACATGTTTAAAACTAAATGTTGGAAATCGTTGTAAACGTTTACTGTTAATAAAAGCTTCGATTTGTGGATATCGTCCAAATTTACATTTACATAAGGTAAGAATAGCTCGATGATATTTCTAAATAAGATTTTTAAAAATAAGTCAAGGTTTTATTAAAACTCTTCTTCGTAATTCTTACTATTGTCTTATCTTCTTCATTATCATTATGAGTACAACATTGTTGACATATATTTTCTAATTCATTCAATTTAAATTGTTTTAAATCATGACAATTTGAACAGAGTAAATTATCTGGCGCAAATCCACGATCAAGACATTGAATCGAAGATAATGATTCTGATCTTACAAAGATCTAAGTAAAGTTTTAATTTCAATAATATAACATCGGAAAATTATTCATACTCACAATACATAACAACAGTTGACTGAAGAAAATCGTTACAAATTTAATGCTATGCATAATGACACTATCTGAAAGAATACAGTAATTTTTTAAGAAAACTATTTATGTCATCAACTAACCAACAAATCTATCAAAACAATTAATATTTTTTCCTTGTAAAGAAAAAAAACAAGTGAACCTGTAAACTAAATTGAACAAATCATGTAATGAGATAAAGCTTCTTCCGAAATCAGTTGGTAATGTGACAATACATATTAAACACTAAATAGTAAAAATCGAAATAGATGATCCCTTTGAGTATATACTAATATTTGAATATATCGTTCTAAATACTATGAACATATTAAACAAATATTTAGATGATATTTCTCAAGAAATATTCAAAAGTGCATGCAAAAAAACACTAGTTTTCTTTTATTTTTTTATCATTTTTAGTCCTTCTTAATTAGGTCTAGATAATATATTTTGAACAAGCCTGTCAACATGAATTTTTCAAATTACTTCATCTAAATTGTTCTAAATCGGAAATCAAGAATTCTATTCGTTTTTTTTTAAGAATTAACTTGATAGATATAGATAATACATATTGTGATTTTATAAATCGTTGACTCACATATTACAATCTATAAAACATAAACAAATTTATTTAGTATGATACAACTGTTAATGATTACTAAAATAGCAAAAAAAGCTCACTGAACTTGAATAATTCCATTGACTTTCTAACTTACATGAAAACTAAATAAGCACAAAAATAAAAAATGATTTGAATATTCATACCTCAGTGCGATCACCTCGAATACGGATAATTTGCATGTATTAATAGAGAAGTTTCACGCGACATTATTTAAATCTTTTATTTGAACAGATAATCAAACATCGATTGTTTCGTCTTCTGCTGTTCTTGGTGTCTTTAAATTATATTCATATGGATCAAGTTGGTTATTATCTACAGAGAAACATGTGAAAAAAATGAAATAATTTTATCATAAGCGCTTAATAGATCAAATACATATTCAAATATATCTCTAAAAAAACTTAATTTTATAAAACAATATAAAAATAAAACATAACAAACACTCACGATTCTTATTAGATCATAATTAATCAATTTTTCTATTTTGTTAATAATATCCAACACAATTAAGAGCTAATATAGAAAGACTTTCATTTTTAAAAAAATGAGATCTAAATAAATTTACCTTCAACGAATTTCTCATATTTTGTTATTAAGACTCGTCCAGATCAATCAGTACAACGTTCAAAAACTACTTTATGAAATTTAATGTCATCATTACTAAAACTTTTCACAGGATATTGTTTTTCCACGATCTTGTTGTCGAGACAATGATGAGCGGCTATTTGATATTGATAATGGTGGTGATGAGGAACGATTTGTTAAAAAATCAGATTTTGATATTTGAAAATTTGGTGATGTTCTACCACCAAGACTTGTATTGCTTTTTATTAATCGATTAGAATACATAGTCTGTTCAAAAACAAAAGATTATTCTTCTTTTCTTTTATGTTATATATCACAACTTTGTAGCCTCCGTTTTATCCAACCAAACAACTTTTAGTGATATTTGAAAGTTGAGATTGGATAAAACATGTGGCGCAATCTTCTATGAAAAAAAAAGTTAAAGTAGTATTAAATTTTATATTGATTTATTATAAATGTCATGACGATAATTAGTAAACGAATCAGCAGCTAAATCAGCTGCACCGATATATTTTTCGAACATAGCAATAGTCTTGGTTTTGTATCAATAGAATTCAGCAGCTGAAAAATCACAACGCTATGGTTCAGCAAGTGTACCTGGTTCGGGTCGAGTAGATCATGTTGATTTTAATTCTATTCGAGATAAAATTAAAACAGCTGATGATACTACTAAAGAAACATATCAAGAAAAAAATCCTAATCGTGGTTATGGAGGAAAATATGGTACAGAACAAGTCATGGATAAGGTCATTTATCATTTTCAATTTATTTTATCTATTCACAACAAACAAATTCAATTTTAGTCTGCAGCAGATTTTACCTACAAAGCTGATATAAAAAAACATTCATCACAAACAGGTTAGTAGTAGAAAGAAATGTTTATAATTGTGGAGATGGAGGTGGTATAGGTACTTGTACACCATTATAAAAAGCAGCTGAATAAGCTGGATGATTTATAAAATAGTTTGTAAATGCTTCTTGTGGTACAAATCCATTTTGTAGAGCACAATTAGCTTCTAGATTTCTCCATACTTGTTGATAATCAGCATTAATACCATATAAATTTGTCATATCTTGTATAACACGTCGTCCCATAGTTGGTGTTATATAACCATTATTTGGTGAATAATGATTAAGTAAAAAATTTAAACGTGTTTGTGGATTTATTGAATCTTGTAATAAAATATAAGCAGAAATAAATTCATCAAATGTTAAACG